GGGCAGTGAAAATGCATATGTTTAGGAAATCCAGAGCACTGATTTTCTTAACCAATGTTTTCTTAAACAGCCAGCACTGTATTGGTCTGTAAACCTGAACGCAGCACCAATTGATGATCATTGTTTTGAATAATAGCACTTCAATATTTTCAAGGCTCTCGAGGAAGTAGCACCAGACATTGTCACCTTCAATGCGACCATCAGTGCATGTGAGCGTGGGGGGCAGTGGCAGACGGCCCTGGAACTGTTGTCAGACATGCGTTCTCTCGTTCAGGTCCCAGACAACATTAGCTTCAACGCGACAATAAGTTGTTGCGGGAAAGTTGGACGCTGGGAGGCGGCCGTTCGCTTGCTGGATGACATGGCACGTTCTCAGCTGCTCCCTGATGAGGTGACCTTCGGAGCTTCAATCAGCGCATGCGGCAAAGCCGGGTTGTGGAGCCTGGCTTTGCATCTGCTGTCAGCCATGCCTTTGCCCAACCAGACGGTTTTTGGTGCTGCTATTAGCTCCTGCGAAGACGGAGGGCATTGGCAAGTTGCCCTCCAGCTCCTGTCTGATATGTCGGAGTCCAAGCTTTCTCCAAACGAGCTCTGCTTCAGCGCAGCCATTGCATCTTGTGAGAAAGCATTCCAGTGGCAGCCTGCGCTACAACTCCTGTATTCTATGCATGTTGCTCGGGTACCTCCCAACGTAATAAGCTTCAGCGCGGCTGTCAGTGCCTGTGAAGCTGCTTGGCAGAGTCGACTCACTGTGGAGATGCTGTCTGACATGCTGCAGGCTCCGTCCTTCCCTCTTCAAGTTTCTTCAGTTCAGTGACTCTTGCTCAGAACAACCACTAGTTGGCTTCAGCAGCGAGCCGGAAAGGCTGTCGCACCAAGTTGCGCAAGTTTATTTCAGCCCATCTGGACGGCACACAAAAAGACGGGCACTTGCTCCTGCCCCTGGAGTAGGAGTTGGTATCTGCCGACGTAAGCACATCAGTGGTATTTTCAATGAGCATACTATGGTTACGGTTGTGAATAGAGTGAGGTTCTATCTTCCATTCTCTTCCTTTCGGATATAGTACGTAATTCATGAGAAGAACATGATCTGGTACTGTTCAACCATAGAAAGCGCTACCCACTTGCTCATACTGGTCTCATGAGCAGCAGCTGATGATGAAATCCCGCCCATGCCCTTCATCTTGCTGATTGCTAGTAGGGAAGATCCGGATGGTGGCCCACAACTCCTCATTCCTTGAACAGCAAGCACACAGTTTTTGCCAGGCACAAGCTCAACTTCGAAAGTCCGGAGTACAGGCGCCACTGCACTTTTGCGATACGAGACTCCTCGATCACAAAGCAGGTTGCAAAGGTAGCTACCTCATGTAGAATAAGGAGTTCTCGGGGTCCATAACTAAGGGTCCTGGGGTGGGCCTAGTGGGCGTGACGTTAGATGGGTTTCCTCAAATAGGGAACTTCGAGGCTCCTCAGAGGTGTATGGAGTGTAAGGAGTCTCTGGGGGCCCTCTTATGGAACATGCGGGCACTTTTCAGAAAAACTCCCAGATGTTCGTGGAGCCACAGCTTTGCATTTGCGCTCGCTGTCAAAAAAGGCAATGCCAATGATCATCATGAGGGCACTTTTAATTTTGCAGCAAGCCTAGCTGCTCGGCGTCTACAATCCCCCGGGCAAAGCTCAAAGCAAAGCGCCAAGCGCGGCTCACCTTGACAGCGCAATTTGCAGAAGCTGGCTATGGCAGTGCAATGCTTCACCAAACTGAACTTGGACCCGCTAAGGTGAGGAAGTAGGTAAAACCAAGCAACAAGCCTGTTAGGTGCATGCGACCAACATAGCTGTGACTCTTTGTCATTTGTCCTCCACTCGTTTGCAGGTACGCTACCTCGCTGCATTGGATGTTTTGCCAGCTTGGCTTCGGCTCCACCAACATCGAGGATGCTTGGTTTGAATCAGATCTGTTGCATTTGACTGCAAAAGCTGCTTGAGCAATCAAGCTGGACAGTAGCCCAGGCTGCGACCTTTGTTGAGCGCGTGTTTGGCATCCTCACGGCGTTTATGGCCCTTGTAGTTTTCTCCACTATATTGGGAGTGCCTTTGCTGGAACAGGTGTCTTGCACCTCTTCCTTGCTTTGATTCAAAGAGAATTATGCGGCTCTAAGGCCATCACAACAAGGACCACGCAGCTCAACAGAGCGGCTGAGGACAGGAGAAACCAGTTTCGCCAGCTGAGGACAGGCTTCAGTCCGCACGAGCTACCTTCGTAGGCCTAGGAATCCGTGTGGCATGAGCAGGGAATGTGAAAGTCTGTCAGGAAGTATTTGCTGCAGCACCGGGTCAATGATGAGCTCTGCCTTAGAATCACGGGATTCCTGGAGAATGCCTTCAACGTCAGACAGGCCATCCTGCGCTGGTCTCAGATCAGCCAGGGAGGAATGGGGGGGAATGAACAAGGACATGGAAATAACGTGCTCCGGGAGGGCTTACACATCTAGTCTAAAGGCCTATGCTGCTGATGTGGGGAAGTGTCAAAATTGGGGGGCTGATCCTGAGGGGTGAAGGGATGCCTCTTTTGGTGGCAGAATGTTTTCTAAAAAAGACTGCATGCCTGGTGCTCAGTAGGGAACGGAACATAAAAGCAGCTAGTGCAGAATTAGGGCACCTAGTAGGCTTGTAGGGAATAAGGGAATGGATCTCTATAGTAGTCCCTCATAGTGGTCCCTACAACTCATCATGTTTTCCCATTCCCTACCATCGAAAAGAGTTTGCGGTGAACTGATGGCAGGCGGCTGTTCTGGAGTCGCAGGTGGAGCTCTTGGGATATTTGTCAAAGCCCCTTACAGCCGAACTGCAGTGCTCCGGCGGGACAGGAAGCCATATTGTAAAAGTATGGAACCATATGGAATCTTACTTTTGGGGTTGGGAGTGTGGATCCTTATAACTATCCCGATATTCCTAGATTTACCACAAGTATAGTGCCCATATTCACGAGCGGAGAAGAGGTGAGAGCATGTTTGATTGTGGGCGTTGAGTTTGGCAAGTGCATTGTGAGGTATGCCAAGTTCGAGAGCTGTCTCAAGGACACTGTGGGGTTGCCATGGCGACAAAGGCTACGTACGGTTTAAGATGTTTGAAGGTCGACCTGAGGAAGCACCCGGGGCAATATCCAAGCCTGCTGGTCTCGGAACAGGCAGCTGCACGACCCGCAACCAAACATTGAACCCCAAAACGGGTCCCGTGAAGATTAGTTTAGTATTAGTTTACTTCCAAGGTGCCACATCGGGTTCCATGTTTGGTTGCTCCAGGCCCTAACCTACCCATGCCAAGCACCTCGTGGAGCCTATGCACCCTGTGATACCCGCATACTGATACTATGTGCCTTATAGCCTTTAGCCTAGGGCAGGGCATGTGATATGGCAGGGGGGTGATCTGGCATCCAGGTAGGACAACATTCCGGTTGCAACGCGACCAGGACCCCCCCTTGACACTTTTGAGACGCGAAGACGCAACGCGAGTCCAAAAGTGACGACAGTTTTGCGTTTCGCGGCCAGGACCCCCCGATCCCTGTGACTGTTGACACTCTTGAGATGCAAAGACGCCACGCGAGTCCAAAAATTGCCGTTTCGCGGCCAGGACCCGCCCGATCCCTGAGACTGTTGACACTTTTGTGACGCGAAGACGCAACGCGAGTCCAAAAGAGACGAAAGTCATGCGTTTCGCGACGCGGACGCTTGTGAACACACGGCGGACGCTTGCGGACGCTGGCGAACGCTTGCGGACGCTTGCGAGCGCTCCGCACGGATTTCGCGTCAACTTCCAACCCCCAGACCCCCAACCTCAAAACGAGAACCCTTCCCCTGCGCATTCGGGAAAAACATCTTAGATGCAGGAGCTGATCCTGATCAAGCCGAACTGCAGCCCAGAACCTTACGACCTCCTTACCCGGCAGGCAGAGAGAGACGTGCCAGCTTTATTAGCTGGGGGGTGTTAGGGGTCCTAATATACGTCCCTGGTCAGGATCTCATAGGGGAATTTCGAGGCCAACGCTGCAATCAAGCATGCGGGCTAGTTCCACACATTACATCAGGGTCACTCTACATACACTCCAAAATTTTGAAATCCATGTTTGGGAAACCTCAGAAGGCTAGTTTTTTGGAAGCCACCACAGCTTGTTGGGGAAAAAACTCGGGTCACACTTTTTGTAACCTCTTGGAAACATGAGGTGCCTGCAGTGTGTAGTTGATACCCCAAATGGCCCAAGGATATTCAGACTAGCCCACATACTGTAGCTTTCGATGGCTATTTTCTTGATACTGTAGCTTCAACATTTTTTGGCGCGGCATGAAAGACCAAGAGAGACATCAGTCGGCAGAAATTAGCTCGTAGGTTTGATTTGTGGCTGGCAGGTCATGAAGAATTTGGCCAACGACGCGCTGATGCATTGCATCTTTGCGGCAAATGCAGTGCCCATCTCGAAACTTTGTTTTGCCTGAACGTCACGCATTCATAGATGCATACTTGGAGGGTATGGGTAGTTGTGAGAAGCGACAGTATTTTACCTAGGGTATTCAGAAGCACTATTTAACCACCCATGAAGCTACCAGGATCCTTAAACCCCAGATCACAAGCAGATTCCAGCAGAACCCCGCCATGAAGAGACACTCTACGTTTGCCAATCTGCAAGTCGCGAACATACATGATGATCTTTGTGCTTTGTTTTTGGGACCACAATTTGCACATACCTATGTATAACAACGCTGCAAACACATGATGTTTGCCAGCACATATGTATCATACGTGTGCGTTTTCATTACATAAGCATACACTTACACCGAATATGCTGCATGTGTAAGTACATATATCTATATATCTGTATGTATATATAGAGGTGTTCCGCATACAGGCATGACATGTAGAAAATAGATGAATTAGCAGGTACATGTATATGTATAAGTACCAACGCATGTTCACGGATACCACATATATGTGCCACCCTGCATGTGGCGCAGGCACCTTTGCGCCCGCAGATTCCGTGTTCGAAGCGGAGACTGTGGCCTCTGTCGCCTACTTTCTGAACAGCGGTTACTGGGCAAGGTTTTTTTATGTAGGAATCCACTCCCCCACTCCTCGGTGATCTCCAGAAGGTTGCTTGGCGGTGTCTTCCTGGTGTGTGTGCGTGTGCAGAGTTTAGGCTGCTTTCCTGTGACGCGCATCCCAGTGACGCTAGAGGTGAAGGTTTGCATAGGGCACAATAAACGGTTGAAGCTTCCTAGCGGGAAGAGTTGTCACAGCTGATTTTCTGGTGGTGCTGAAGGGGAAGCACTCCCCCGGCCCCGCGTGAGTACCAGTAAGCTGACCTTTGCTTTGGCCTAAGGTTCCCTCAAATACGTCCTGAACGGTCGTGAGGCAAGTGGACTGCTCTTTGCATGATGTCTCGCTGGCTAATCTTGGCAAGTCATGGTAGGAAATATGATATCCGATAGCCAATCTAGTGCTGAATGACCTTGTATGGTAGAAGCTAGATGAAAACCTACCTACACTATTTCCCCACCCTCACAGTGGGGTTGTTAGATTTTGAAGAAGATG